TTTTATGAAAGTAATGAAAAATTCAATTTGTTCAAGCTTTTGCTGAGAACTCTGCTTTTGTGTGAAAAAAGGTGATATGAAGTCATGAAATACTATCTGTTCTGTGTTTTATAGGTGTTAGAAGTAATTTTTTCGTATGAGAGAAAGGTTAGCCCTGTTCCTGGAGAAATATTTTCCTGCATAGGCTCCTGAATTTAGGAATATTTTCTAAATATGTTTCTAAGGATGAAAGTAAAATGATGTCTCTTGACTTCAGTCATATATTCTTAAAGTGTGATGATTTTTTTGTAATGTGTGGAGGTGGGAGGGAGGAGGAGAAGGGGGTTTGACAATGTGTTATAGTGACTGTAGAGAAGATGTTGTATGAGTAAAACCTTTAAAAATTACTAAAGCAGGCATAATACCAAGGCATTTTATCTCACTTAGAAATCTCTAGTTTCTTAATTTTATAGCATTTTTTTCATGTAAACAGTGAAAAGCTTCAGCTGGTTTTAATATGCAAAATTTTAAAAGAAATCTTGCAACGGATGAAAAGAATATTTGGTGGTTTAGTGTTATTGAATAGTAGCATTTGACAAGTAGTATTTGACTGTAATGTTACAGTTTTATCCTCATTACTGCTATTGCCTAATAGTTTTCTTTTAACACCTCAGCTGTTCTCTTCTGCAGTAATTCAGCTCCTTGAACTTATAGAAAATTGAATAGTTCTGTATTAATTCTGCTGTCTGCAGCTGTAATCAGTGCTAACCCCCTACATGATTTGAATGGACGACTGCAGTGGTATCTGGAAAGGCTGTGACTGTATTTAACTGCCATGTTTTTTATTCAATCTGCAGGGTAATGATGTTCGGATAATCCTTGGCCAGTTTGATGAGGAAATGGCTGTGAAAGTTTTCTGCTGTGTAAGTAAATAAATTTAATTTCATATCAGAAGAAAGAATGTGCTATATTTGAATTAAAAAAACCCGCCCAATCAAACATAAATATTTCTTCATGAGGTTCAGGTCTGTGCAGGTTTATATCCTAAAGAGAGGTTACACATGCTTAGAGCTCCATTTCTCTTTCAATGAAATACTTTGTACTTGACCTCTGTGGAATTTAGGCATAGACTGCATGGTTAGCTTCTTCTTATTGCTTTCCTGCAGTGGAATTAAATGCCAAATCACACCTGAGTGTTTCTCTTCACATCAGATCCAGGAACATACTTGTATATATAGCAGGAGAAACAGAGAACAGCAAAATTAGAATCTTGTCCAAGAGTTGTGTTCTGGTGGTAACATCTGCATGTATGTGGCTTTGCATGTTTAGCTTTGAAAGAATAAGAAATTCAAACAGTTCCTATGCATCCAAACTCAGCAACACTAATAATTCCTGTTGCTGAAAATGTTGGTAATTGTACAGTCATAATTCCCTTCTAACTGCTGTACATTTTACATGTATTGCATGAAAGAAAATATTAGTTTGTAAAAAATAAAGTTTTTTGAACTAAAAGAAATACAGTAAGACCAGCAAACATAAAATTCCTTACCCTCACTGTTTGTTCATATGTGTGAATATGCTGTAAACATGCACACTGTTATTGCCATTGAAAATAGCAGGATTAAAATGTGAGTCTGTATTTGTATCTGCCTAAAAAACCCACCAAAACTGCCAGAGGCAGATTTTAGTGGCCTAAAATTTGTATTGGTATTGAATTCTTAGTCTAAATAGTAAGTTTAATCCTGTATGCTCCAAGAACACAATAAATATCATGGAAAAGCAATAATGATTTCAGAGGGTGTTTTTTTTTAGTGTTCACTTAGTGAGACAGTTACTTATCCAAGCAAAGAGAGGCAGAAGTTCAAAATCTGAGTGCTATGTGTGCCTCAGATGCATTTTGGTTTATCCCCAGCAGCTGTCCCAGTTGGTGGTAAAATTTGGAAAGGAGATTGTAGAGTATGTTTGAAAGGAACTGAATCTGTTTTCATCCAAAAGGAAATGGAAAGTACTATTTTCTTTTTCATTTTTCTCACCTCTGATGGGTTTTGACATCTCTTTGTTCTGGCATTTCCACTGAATTGACAGAGAGATTCTCCCATTTTTCCATTCCTGGAAGAAAGTATGGTCTTTTTGCAGCTCAGCTCCTCCTCAGATCTCTTGGGGTTGAGATGCATTTCCCCAGTAGAGGGGTCCTGGTCAGGACAGTCTTCCAATCCAACATCAGCAAGGGATTGACCTTGTTTTTGCTGTTGCCGTAAATTTCTAGTTGCCTTCCTCTACAATTCTTTTCCAAGTCCATGTGCATGTGAAGCCACTGAAGAAATCCTAGAAGTCCTTGGAGGGGCAAGCTGTCCTCTTGTCTGTATCTCTCTAGTTTGAAGGAAGGAGAGGATGTCTCTTTCACACAAACTCCTGCCACAGCTTTCTGTGGCAATGGTTTGGTACAAACATGGGAAATGTGTGTAACTCTGAGTGGTTTAAAGAGTGCTGGCTGCTTCTAAAGTACATTAGTGTCAAAAATAATAAGGTGGATTTTTCTGGAGCCTGGAAAAATCTGAGGCATCATGTAGACTTGTATGAATGCATTTATTTGAGAGTT